CGCGGCCTTCCCGGCGTTAAAAATGTAATGCAATGGAGCAGATACTTTATGTTGGGTGTACATGTGTGTATAACTCATCATAGCTCTTGGTAAATTCACCTCTGGAAACAAGAAAAAACCCCTCGGAAAATCCCGGGGTTGATCCCGGCGGAGCCCCGGGAGCTCCGCCTGCCGCTCTCGCAGCCTTCCCTCCGCGACGGGATTGCTTCCCGCTTTCTATTTCTTTATTTTATTTATTTTATTTTATTTTATTTTATTTTATTTTATTTTATTTTATTTTATTTTATTTATTTTTTTTTATTTTATTTTATTTTATTTTATTTTATTTTATTTTATTTTATTTTATTTTATTTTATTTTTTTATTTATTTTATAATAATTTTTATCTTTTTTATCTTATTTTATCTTATTTTATTTATTTATTTATTTTTGTCGCATAACCGAAGAGCATCCTTTGCACATCTTCCTCTATTATGCCCTTTTTAAATCTTCCTTCCACTACCAAAAGCACCCCAGTGGGAATGCCATAGAGTATAGCTGATGGGAAAAAACCCCTTTTTTTAATACTGCCTTAATACATCAGAATGCCTCTATATGCTGAGTTTGACTAAAAGTCTATATTTTTACAGAGCGGTATTTAATTTTCCACGAGAGAATATTTTCAGTTATGTGATGTAATTTGTAATTTTGTATTCTGTTGAAAACCACTACCTACTGCTAATAAAAAAAATAATAAATTGTTTGGGAGTTCAAAAGTGAATTTTCAGTTTTTTCTTAACTTGGTGTATGAGGCTCTCTACCTGCTTTGAAATGGGCACGTGAGGACACAGTCTTCCTCATTTGTGATCATGGCAGATTCAATCTGCTTTTCAGGAACCTCTTTACACTTGTGTGTGCCAGGAGTTACACTGTTAGATTTTAAAATGAAAATATGTCATGTCGATGATGTTACAGTTTGCCAAAGAAACGAGTTTACTGAATGTAAAGGAAAAATGAGAACCAAGGGATAAATACATTTGACTGCCCTTTAAAACAGCCACTATATTAATTGTGGTTAATTGCCCATTACTGCCACTGTCATTCTGCAGTCTGTTAAAGGCTGGTGCCAGAGAAAAACTGCTTTCTTAGGGAAGTGTAGTGGGATTGCAGAGAAATTAAGGAATGTCCCTGGAAATGAGTGTCAGCCACAGTCACAGATCAGCACCGTTGTGAGCCTTATCTGGTGTAAGGGGTTTGTGCTGTTGCCTCTCAGCTCTGATGTGTCTGTGGCTTTCAATAAATAATAGCAAGGTTGCTACCGGTTTTTATAAGGTCCGTGGCTTTTTTGATTCATAGCCAGCAACGGGATTTGTATTTTTGTTCAGGGAGTGGAACAGGGTTCGGTTTTTTTCAGTAATTACTAGGGTAGAATACTCAGAGTTCCTGAACAAGGAGGCTGAGTTTCTTAAGAAAATATGCATTTAAAGACAAATGCATATGTTCTTGAATAAAAATGCATCTTTTATTTACATTCTACCATTTTAAAAATAAATCTGAGGTTAAAAATGTGTTCTGATTTATGAATTAATCTAATAACATCCCTGCTTAATAAAGATTTTGTAATATTTCTGGGTTTAAATCAAAATCCTCCATCTCTGAGAAGACTGAGACATTTATTCTTACTCTCAAAATAAGCTCTGTAAGACTTGTAATGGGGTTTATGAATGGCTGTTTGTGAATGCTCTTACCATTGTAAATTAATTCATCTGATGCCCTTCTATACAAGGATGCACATCTTTAACTTGATCAGCCTTGACTGGGAAAGTTGCACGTAGAAATCA